TGGCTGTAGTCATTGCTCAAAGCAGTCGTGACGAGAGTGTGTTGTTGTATAGTTAATCTCTTTCGGTGTGGTTATATACATGGTGAAGGTGGTTGTAGCCATGGCGCAAAGCAGTAATGACGAGAGTGTGTTGTTGTATAGTTAATCTCTTTCGGTGTGGTTATAGACATGGTGAAGGTGGTTGTAGCCATGGCGCAAAGCAGTAGTCACGAGAGTGTGTTGTTGTATAGTTAGTTCATCTCTATCGGTGTGGTTATAGACATGGTGAAGGTGGCTGTAGCCATGGCGCAAAGCAGTAGTCACGAGAGCGTGTTGTTGTATAGTTAGTTCATCTCTATCGGTGTGGTTATAGACATGGTGAAGGTGGCTGTAGCCATGGCGCAAAGCAGTAGTCACGAGAGCGTGTTGTTGTATAGTTAGTTCATCTCTATCGGTGTGGTTATAGACATGGTGAAGGTGGCTGTAGCCATGGCGCAAAGCAGTAATGACGAGATTGTGTTGTTGGATAGTTCATCTCCACAGGTGTTGTTATAGACGTGGTGAAGGTGGCTGTAGTCATTGCTCAAAGCAGTCGTGACGAGAGCGTGTTGTTGTATTGTTCATCTCTACAGCTGTTGTTATAGACGTGGTGAAGGTGGCTGTAGTCATTGCTCAAAGCAGTCGTGACGAGAGCGTGTTGTTTTATTGTTCATCTCTACAGCTGTTGTTATAGACGTGGTGAAGGTGGCTGTAGTCATTGCTCAAAGCAGTCGTGACGAGAGCGTGTTGTTGTATTGTTCATCTCTACAGCTGTTGTTATAGACGTGGTGAAGGTTGCTGTAGCCATGGCTCAAAGCAGTAGTTACGAGAGCGTGTTGTTGTATTGTTCATCTCTACAGCTGTTGTTATAGACGTGGTGAAGGTGGCTGTAGTCATTGCTCAAAGCAGTCGTGACGAGAGCGTGTTGTTGTATTGTTCATCTCTACAGCTGTTGTTATAGACGTGGTGAAGGTGGCTGTAGTCATTGCTCAAAGCAGTCGTGACGAGAGCGTGTTGTTTTATTGTTCATCTCTACAGCTGTTGTTATAGACGTGGTGAAGGTGGCTGTAGTCATTGCTCAAAGCAGTCGTGACGAGAGCGTGTTGTTGTATTGTTCATCTCTACAGCTGTTGTTATAGACGTGGTGAAGGTTGCTGTAGCCATGGCTCAAAGCAGTAGTTACGAGAGCGTGTTGTTGTATTGTTCATCTCTACAGCTGTTGTTATAGACGTGGTGAAGGTGGCTGTAGTCATTGCTCAAAGCAGTCGTGACGAGAGCGTGTTGTTGTATTGTTCATCTCTACAGCTGTTGTTATAGACGTGGTGAAGGTGGCTGTAGTCATTGCTCAAAGCAGTCGTGACAAGAGCGTGTTGTTGTATTGTTCATCTCTACAGCTGTTGTTATAGACGTGGTGAAGGTGGCTGTAGTCATTGCTCAAAGCAGTCGTGACGAGAGCGTGTTGTTGTATTGTTCATCTCTACAGCTGTTGTTATAGACGTGGTGAAGGTGGCTGTAGTCATTGCTCAAAGCAGTCGTGACGAGAGCGTGTTGTTGTATTGTTCATCTCTACAGCTGTTGTTATAGACGTGGTGAAGGTGGCTGTAGTCATTGCTCAAAGCAGTCGTGACGAGAGCGTGTTGTTGTATTGTTCATCTCTACAGCTGTTGTTATAGACGTGGTGAAGGTGGCTGTAGTCATTGCTCAAAGCAGTCGTGACGAGAGCGTGTTGTTGTATTGTTCATCTCTACAGCTGTTGTTATAGACGTGGTGAAGGTGGCTGTAGTCATTGCTCAAAGCAGTCGTGACGAGAGCGTGTTGTTGTATTGTTCATCTCTACAGCTGTTGTTATAGACGTGGTGAAGGTTGCTGTAGCCATGGCTCAAAGCAGTAGTTACGAGAGCGTGTTGTTGTATTGTTCATCTCTACAGCTGTTGTTATAGACGTGGTGAAGGTGGCTGTAGTCATTGCTCAAAGCAGTCGTGACGAGAGCGTGTTGTTGTATTGTTCATCTCTACAGCTGTTGTTATAGACGTGGTGAAGGTGGCTGTAGTCATTGCTCAAAGCAGTCGTGACAAGAGCGTGTTGTTGTATTGTTCATCTCTACAGCTGTTGTTATAGACGTGGTGAAGGTGGCTGTAGTCATTGCTCAAAGCAGTCGTGACGAGAGCGTGTTGTTGTATTGTTCATCTCTACAGCTGTTGTTATAGACGTGGTGAAGGTGGCTGTAGTCATTGCTCAAAGCAGTCGTGACAAGAGCGTGTTGTTGTATTGTTCATTTCTACAGGTGATGTTAGAGTCGTTGTGGAGTGAAATCTAGAAGTTGTACTAAGCAGTAGTCACGAGAGCGTGTTGTTGTATGGTTCATCTCTACAGCTGTTATAGACATGGTGAAGGTGGCTGTAGCCATGGCGCAAAGCAGTAGTCACGAGAGCGTGTTGTTGTATAGTTAGTTCATCTCTATCGGTGTGGTTATAGACATGGTGAAGGTGGCTGTAGCCATGGCGCAAAGCAGTAATGACGAGATTGTGTTGTTGGATAGTTCATCTCCACAGCTGTTGTTATAGACGTGGTGAAGGTTTCTGTAGCCATGGCTCAACGCAGTCGTGACGAGAGCGTGTTGTCGTATTGTTCATCTCTACAGGTGATGTTAGAGTCGTTGTGGAGTGACATCCAGAAGTTGTACTAAGCAGTAGTCACGAGAGCGTGTTGTTGTATGGTTCACCTCTACAGATGTTGTTACAGAAGTGGTGATAGTGACGTCTAGAAGTTGTACAAAGCAGTAGTCACGAGAGCGTGTTGTTGTATAGTTCATCTCTACAGCTGTTGTTATTGACGTGGTGAAGGTTGCTGTAGCCATGGCTCAACGCAGTCGTGACGAGAGCGTGTTGTTGTATTGTTCATCTCTACAGGTGATGTTAGAGTCGTTGTGGAGTGAAATCTAGAAGTTGTACTAAGCAGTAGTCACGAGAGCGTGTTGTTGTATGGTTCACCTCTACAGCTGTTGTTATAGACGTGGTGAAGGTTGCTGTAGCCATGGCTCAAAGCAGTAGTCACGAGAGCGTGTTGTGGTGGTACGGTTCATCTCTACACGTGTTGTTATAGACGTTGTGATAGTGACGTCTAGAAGTTGTACTAAGCAGTAGTCACGAGAGCGTGTTGTTGTATAGTTCATCCCTACAGGTGTTGTTATATAAGTGGTGAAGGTTGATGTAGCCATGGCGCAAAGCAGTCGTGACGAGAACGTGTTGTTGTATTGTTCATCTCTACAGGTGTTGTTATGTAAGTTGTGAAGATTGCTGTAGCCATGACGCAAAGGAGTCGTGACGAGAGCGTGTTGTTGTAGCCCAGATGTCTGACAATAGCACCTCACCTCGTGTTTATTTACTTTGGCAAAACAGTCCGACCATTTCCTCATCATTCCTATTACTTATAACAATATTGCATCGGTAGGAAACCACGCTGTCTGGCTTGCTTATACCCTTTTTTCCATCCATGAGAGTAAATGTGAATTATGTAATTGCAAAGAAAGTGGACTGTTAGAAGATAGTTGTTGGAATTTTCCCAAATTTTGATTTAAATATTCACTAATGCTTGTTTAAGTAGATAGCTGTAGAACAATTGTACATTTGACTTGGCTCGTCGTTGTCTTTGGACCTTACCATGCAACATGATGGGCGAATAGTATAATACACTCTGAGGTATTGACAAAAGGCTGCTGTAGCATGTCTTCTTAAATACATACCATCGTTGTTATGGTCCTGAATCAAATATCGTGACCAAATGATTTTTTAGTAGTATCACATTTTATACTGTATTGTTCCAACAGTTCAGTTCCGAGGTTATTATTCTCTATCGTCACACAATTGAATTGTTGTCACTAAACTATTGTGACGTCATTGTTAGTGTAAAGCAAAGTGGTAATAGAGGGATGAGAAAGACAGAATTATTAAGTGGTGCTCTTTATCACCATCTCATAAGCGTACAGAGGGACTGTGGGCTGTACTGACCATTAGGTCCGTGGCGACTGGCCAGTATTGTCCACTATGTCGCTCTAAATCATGCCTAATTGTGTTAATTTTCAGCCAACTGACCATATTTATTTTTAAAATGTCAGCTGGTTCTTCTTGTAGTAATCTGTTTGAAGCTGTCTTAAACAATCTTGAACCGCTTTGGGCAGCAAATCAAAAAAGATAGGTACTGTAGCTTAAAATAGGCCTAGTAATAATAACTTTGTTTGTTTTAATCCTTAAAAATACTCAAGGCTTTTCCTCACTTGATATAGTTAGCTTTGCAAATATGTATAATGGTTCAGTTTAACTCCCGGATGGAAACTTACAAGGTAGGGATTATCCCTTACGAAACCCCAGTTTAAGAATGTATTCGAAGTATTGACAATGGTTCCATAGAAAAATTCAAATGTGTGACCGTGAAATTGTTCCTGTTTAACGATAAAGCAAAGCTTTGGCTGAAGAGTTCGTAGAGTGTTGGTGGTCTTTGCGGTCGATTGTCTGACCACAAGCCACACATGAGTCAGAGCGGAGGCATTGTGATGCCCACAAGTCTGTGGTGTGTAAACCAGCCTTGGTGTCAGTTGGACAAACATATGTCAGACACACATTGCGGTGTTTACTTTTTCGCAATGGCTGAAATTAATTACCTCTTAATGACATATGTTTTCCTGCAGCCTACTTATATTAGCTCCATTAAAATCGCTTCACGGATAGGACGGTAGATCTAAACACAACATATGAAAAGGTGTTGGGGTTAAGTGTCGAGATGCGTCCCTGGACGAGGCATCGCGTAGCCCCACAGCAAGGGCCTCACATCCACGGCTAGTCTGATGTGTATGTGTGTGTTACAGATGGACGGTGAGGGGGTGTGAGGGTGAGGCACCGAGATGCGTCCCCGGACGAGGCATCGCGTAGCCCCACAGCGAGGGCCTCACATCCACGGCTAGTCTGATGTGTATGTGTGTGTTACAGATGGACGGTGAGGAGGTGTGAGGGTGAGGCGCCGAGATGAGTCCCCGGACGAGGCGTCGCGTAGCCCCACAGCAAGGGCCTCACATCCAAGGCTAGTCTGATGTGTATGTATGTGTTACAGATGGACGGTGAGGAGGTGTGAGGGTGAGGCGCCGAGATGCGTCCCCGGACGAGGCGTCGCGTAGCCCCACAGCAAGGGCCTCACATCCACGGCTAGTCTGATGTGTATGTGTGTGTTACAGATGGACGGTGAGGAGGTGTGAGGGTGAGGCGCCGAGATGCGTCCCCGGACGAGGCGTCGCGTAGCCCCACAGCGAGGGCCTCACATCCACGGCTACACATCTACTCTGCTAGGTCATGTCGCAAGTGACGTTCTTGCCAATTAATGCGAACTCACGACCGCAGATCACTCGATCGATTCTACTAGTCATTTGATACGTTTCTGTTCTCTATAGTTCTCTTGTTAGGTTCTCTTCATTTAAGCGGTGCTGGTTCGTTTGTTGATGTTAAAAACGGTGCTATAAAGTTGTTACTATTTTCGAGCATTTTAAAATATTACCAAATCATATTGTAGATTCCACATTCCTAACTAGTTTGGTTTTTACCTGATATTAATATAAATAGATTCAACTTTTTACCGTATGTGACAAATGTATTGCTGTGATAAATAAAGTATTTTAGTACCGGTAAATTTTACAAGTCGACTCTCTAGCTATTATAATTTGGTCCGGAGACCAGGAACAGATCTAACAACCTCACTTATGATTTCTTCATTGGCTCCGGGTCCGGAAAGCAATTCGACATATCCGTACTTGTTCATCAACAGCAGTGTTCTGCCAGTGACCTCCTCTCCTAACTCCACCAATGGCTCCGACTTCGACCCTCCGGTGTTTCCCGCGTACATCCGCACCACCTCCATCATATTCTGTGTCATCATCCTCGGCATCGGCGTCATAGGCAATGTGATGGTGCCTCTGGTCATCCTCAAGTCCAAGGACATGCGCAACTCCACCAACATCTTCCTGATGAACCTCAGCATCGCAGACCTCATGGTCCTGCTGGTCTGCACTCCGACTGTCCTCGTGGAAGTCAACTCCAAGCCAGAGACGTGGGTGCTCGGCGAGGAAATGTGTAAGTAAATTTCTTATTACTAGTTAAGATTTATAATGCATTATAAACACGACTATAACTGCAGTAAACTGCTGTTGTTAGTCCAATCGGAGTTCAGTAACGTATGTAAATTGTATGCGCATTTTTTATTTTATTACGATTTGTTTCTCTGTATTTCAGGCTAACCACTATTTTTAAACTATTTTACACGGCTTTTCTAGAATACAGTATTGCTATAACCTAGAAACTGAATCCGACGTTATGGTACTATGTACAACAAATTATTCTTTACGCGTTGGTTCTAGTCTGCAAAATCAGTGCCTTCTAAGTACATGTCTGTATAGACGTCATGTCGGGACCGAAGACGCAGTCACATGACGATTTTGTCTGATGGATTGGAAACCCTTAATTCGAGTTAAATTTGTTTAAAGACTAAAATGTGTTCTACTAACAATTTGCAACTTATCTAGGTTGTATACTTTTTACATCATTTGAAGCACAGATAAACCGTGTTTGCCTTGAGCCATCCTGGCAAACTCCAACCGGTAGTGACGATACTTGGTCCGAATACTGTACAGGGTAAGCCGGTTAAAGCGGCGGGCAACTGACGTCATCTTCTGATGTCTACTGTGTTACTTGAGGAGGGGTCAAGACACAAGATCATTATTGTGATACCATGTTATTGGGGTAAACACGCGTTAAACTACTTCACACGGTAATACTACCATGAAACAATTACTTCAGGTACATACGGTGGACGTTATATAGCTGGTAAATATTAACGATGTGACGGCAACGTAATCAAAGTGACATGGATTAAACGGATTATATACAAATTAGAGTGGTTTTGCAGCTAAAGTGAAATCGTTTAACAACGTGTGATTTGTTAGGGCCGTTACGATCCACATAAGCTGGACCGAGTCCATCCATCATGCACGGGTGACACATGGGAGTCGTTATTACTTCTAAGAACACTTGGCAGAGCATTTGACAGGCAAAGCCACATTTCTATGCAAATCGTTTCACAATCAATATGACCCTCAGCCCCATACATCCCAGAGCGCGGGAATGAGAGGCGGTTTGGCGGGAACTGCTCCAGTCAGCTGACTTGTCTGATCACTTCTGCGAACCCCGGCAAAAACCCGCGAGTACATAGTCGCTTGTGCAGGTAATAGACGAGCATTCCGCGATCAATGCTTCCTCCACTTTTTCTCCGAGGATGCGCTTCTTGTAATGCCGCAGTAAATTGAAATAGATGGAGAAAGTCTGATAAGCTATGTGAAAAATGTGAAATTGACTTACCGGGACGATGAGGAAAATAACTATCAAAGAAGGTAATAACTGGGAACATGTTTTTATATTGCGTTTATAGAACAAACCCTATAATGTAGGCTACTGTTTGTACACATATTATAGTATACAGAGTTAGGTCTTCAGGAGAACAATGTAAGTAATATCTGAAAAAGCAAGATTATGTATGGTAAGAATTAAGGACTCCCCCAAAGGCACATTTTTTAATAGAAGTTTAGTTAAAAAGAAAATCTGTTTGTTAACAGCTATTTAATTTCCTAATTAAATGTAAAAATAAAATAATGTATGTATAAATATGTTAAATGTTTGGGATTTGATACATTAAGCATCACAGTGTTTAAACCTACTTTTATCCTATACCTACACAAATATTTCTCCAAGGTTTGATGGATTTGATGGAGACTTTATAAACAGACATGATGGTTGTGCTGGATATAGCACTGATATTGTACCTGAATATTTGGGCCGTTGACCAGATCTGTCTGGCACCTCAGCGCATTCCTCGACTCCCTGCCACATTACACATCAGCCTGCGTTACGTTTATGTAAACATTGGCAAGAGAATCCTCCGTGGGTTACCCTGAAAATATTTTGAAAACCAAAATTTGAAATTGAATAAGTATAAAAATAAATTCAGTATAGTATACACCAATTACTGCTTGATGGTTGGAGTAAATTTCAGAGAATATCAATAAGCTTTTTACGTACTACGTTGTTTGACAAATTCAGTGTATGTCTCACGTTTCTATTTATTTTGAGAAAGGGAAAGTTTTGTTGGTACCTACGTTCTTCTGTTGTCCAATCTTTCTTTTTCAAATTTAGTGGTTCTATACCCCAATAGATCATAAATAATAACACTATTTACTGAAAAATCGGAAAAACTAAGTATTTTTGACAATTAAAACAACTCAAGGGAAAGATTTAGCTTTGGATATAGTCGAGTAAACTTATGCAAACACCCCAAAAAAATTGCTACAAATGGTTTTTTGTTGAATTTTACTTTAATAGATACCTGTCAATGAAAATATAAAAGTCTAGGAAAATCGGGTATCCGGAAAGGGTAATTTCCAAGATGGCGTCGAAGATTCCTGTAAAAATAAGTAAATCAAGGTAACTTGAATATTTGTTAACACATATCTTTGATTTTCAATCTAAATAACCATTTAACACCACAAAATGATGTACACAATGTGCAAGAAGACATTTAAACTTTATTAACATAAATATTCTAACAAATATACAATTCATTACAATGTTGATATAGTAAATGGGCTGCTCTGTTAAAACTTGTTCAACCGTCTTCGTCTTCATCTAACTCTATCGAACATGAATTGTTCTGCACATTGTCACGCTCTTCAAATTGGCATGGACCACAGGCTGTTGTGCAAAGAAGGCCATACTTTCTACAGGAACATCTTAAGGTTTTACAATTGGTAGAACAGTTACAATGAATGACCTTCAACATACTCTCTGGTGCAGCACTCTTTGTTGTAATTATTGGGTAGAATCGGTCGTTCTGGATCTTCCAGTCCCACTTTAAAGGATAAACCTCATTTTCCTTTCCCATCCATACCAGAATCTGGTAATAGTGATTCCGGCTTTACGAATTAAGAAGTGGTAACGACCTTTTTGCTGAATATATTGTATCGCAATTTTCCTATGAAACCGTTACATGTAGGCCTACCATCATATAAAATGGACTTGGCCTTACAACCAAGGTCATCAACGAGCTCTGTGGTCTGGTTCGGAGTGGTAAATACTTTGGTACATGATTGTAAGGTAAGGTCCCCTTTTGACATTTTCTGGAAACACATGGGAATTTCACTGCGGAAAGATTACATCAATTGTCTGCAGAGTACATATCTATCATTGGCAAATACCTGACACACGATTTTCCTGGGTATCCATTTCCTTTATAAATAGTGTGCATCAAACCATGCCATCCTAGGGTAGCCGATTTGAAAGACAGTTCCCAAAAATATCAATCTTTTTGTTACATTCAGGGAAAATTAGGGGCTCTGTAAAACTTATGTTTTATGAATACGCCTATTGTTTTCTGAAGATCAAACAAATATCGGCACTTTCAATAATACAGCAATATTCAACTCAGCTTAATGACGCCTTGCTATATTAAAGACTGTCTTCTGTCCTGGAGCAAGGCTACACTAGCATGGTCTTGCCTGGTGTCATGGCAGCTATCATTTCCATTCCATGAAACGTTACTTTTACATCGAGAGTTGAAATATTGTGGTCAACATTTTCTGCTGCTAATAACAATGCTGAATATTTTATTTCAGTGCTATTCTCGTGTTTGGGGCAATAACATTAGTAGCTTTTTTTCCAAATCTTTGCACTTCACTATACGACGAGCAGAACTCCAATATATTTAAAGTGTCTATTTAGAAATCTGGTCTTAAATAAATTATGCATTTGTACAGAAAGGGATAATTGTAAAGGATCAACTAGCGCTCGTTTGCGAACTTCCTGAATAATCGACTGACCGATGCCAGCAACCTTTTGATGGTTGTCTTTACCAACAAACGTTGTTTATGATAAAATTCTAAGTGATTCAGGTATGTACAGTAATTTAAAGCCGATTGAACATTAATGTCATCTGTGGTGGGGGTTTTCTCTATATTATTGTATACTAGCTGAATACCCGTCCTTCGTACGGGGTTGGCGTATAAGTATAAAATGCTTATTGCAGTTATATTAATGCTTTGTGTTTGCAATGGAAGAGGACACGGTTTGAGAAAATTTGGTTCTTTTAATTTACGGAAGATACAGTATAGCACACATACCATAGCCTAATGTTCTACCACTACACCTAAACAATAAAAAAGTAAATTATCGAATATTCGCACAATATCAAAACATAATTTATAAATTAAAAACATAAGCTTAACTGTAAGCAATCCTACTTTAACAGTTCTCATTGTGCATCACAGCTTCAAATTACCTATGTTGTCATAAATGAAAACAAAATGTATAAGTGTTGCACCCTGTTGGTGAACCTTATAACTTTTAATAATATTGAATATCATAGAACAACCTTTTTTTAAATGTATATCTTACGACAACTTGTATGCACCTTATTTCCAGGGACCTCTACTATGGTGTCCCCTCTTCGAACACTAGCCGCGTTTATTCCACCATTCGGTGGACATATTGACGCACCTTTTTTTCTGATTTCAACCACTTCGTATTTAACGATTAGTTGTTTGTAAAAATGGGGCAAGCTGGCTGAAAATCGTTATCAGCTATAATATACAGAAAATTGCATAAGAGCACCAGGCCTAGTCAGTTTTTGATACGAGAGAACGAAGGAATACATGAATAATAATTATCCACTAAAATTATACTCTAACGGATTAAAAACTAATTTAAAGCAATAATGCACATTTGAATACCCCCACCGCAGCAAACCTGCAGACTTAGCGAATTTCCATTTGCCTGATTGGATTTACACTAAAATGTCTCCTTAAAAACATCACATTTATTCCCTATTTAAATAGAATTAATTTAACAAGTACTTAGGTTTGCTGCAACAGGGAGGGTAAAAATGTGTTTTTTGTTGTAAAATGTTAATACTGTAGTTTAGTAAGAAATGAATGTATTTTCCAAATTTGATCAAAATATGTTCATAAACAAGCAAACTACAACAGTTGACTTATTCTCCATAAGAATAACACGTGAATTTAAATTTAAGT